AGTCCACGTCCCGGCTGCTCCACCTCTGACCCAGCTCCCTGCTGATGGCCTGGAAAAAGCAGTGGGAGATGGCCCAAGCGCTTGGACCTCTGCCTCCCACTGTAACCTCTGTAACTCCTGGCTCCTGGCTTCAGTTGTGGCCATCTGGGGAATGAACCATCAGATGGAAGATGTCTCTCTCTCTCTCTGTAACCCTGCCTTTCAAATACAGTAAAATAAATCTTGAAAAAAGAACTCACCATGAAATGCCCAAACTTGGGATCTGCTGGATTCAAAAAAGTTATGACTTTAAGGGCATAAGCTGGGGCAGCAACACCCTGGGGCTGAGCTTGAAATGGAGCTGCCTGGACTTTGCCGAGTACCCTGTGGGGACAGTAGCTGGACACCACGGCCGGTGGGCACCACCTTACACTCTGTGCCTTGCACTGGTGCAGAAGCCATGTGCACTGGTTCCGTAGCAGCCTCCGCAGTTTGCGTTACCAGCCTTTCCTGGGCTAGCACTGTGCGTGAGGGGTGCAGGTGCTCCTAGTGAGTCACGTGATCGCGGGAGCCGTCACCGCTCTGCAGCCGCTGTGTTGCTAGTGTTCTTTGGATTGAGGTATTTAATACTTTCCATGAGCCATGCACTGAAGTATCGCAGAATAGGCTTTGTCTTCCCAAATGCCATCAGAGTTTTCTAAACCACAAATCTGATCATGTCATTTAAAAAAAAAAAGCGTTGGGGGCCGGCGCTGTGGCACAGCAGGTTAACGCCCTGGCCTGAAGCGCCAGCATCCCATATGGGTGCCAGTACGAGTCCCGGCAGCTCCTCTCCCCATCCAGCTCTCTGCTATGGCCTGAGAAAGCAGTACAAGATGGCCCAAACCCTTGGGCCCCTGCACCCGCATGGGAGATCCAGAAGAAGCTCCTGGCTCCTGCCTTCAGATCGGCACAGCTCCAGCCATTGTGGCCACCTGGGGAATGAACCATCGATGGAAGGCCTCTCTCTCTCTGCCTCTCCTCTCTCTGTGTAACTCTGACTTTCAAATAAATAAAATAAATCTTAACAAAAAAAAAAAAAGCTTTGTTTGTTTCTTTGAAAGACAGAGAGAGAAGGAGGGAAGAACTGGGTGGGGATGAGGAGGGGTGAGCAGGATCAGCCATCTGCTGGTTCAGTCCCCAGATGGTTGAAATAGCCAAGGCTGGACTAGGCCAAAGCTAGGAGCCAGGAATCGCATCTCCCATGTGGGTGGCAGGGGCCCAAGCGTTTGGGTTGTCATCTGCTCTTTGACAGGTGCACATCAGGGCTGCTCCAGTATGGGATGCTGGAGTTACAAGTGGTGACTTAACCAGCTGTACCCTTCAAGTCTTTTTTTTTTCATGAAGCCTGATGAAGCTCTCTTCACACCCCAGAGAAAACCCAGTCTCCTTAGCCTCGGCTTCATGTTCACTTCTTTTCTCATTTTAGAAAATCCCTTAAGAGCTTGGGGCTCCTGGACATGTGATAATTCATCCTCCTCATGTGCATGGATTAGGAGTTGGATTTTGCTGCCTGTTACACACACCCGATGGCACGGGCTTAACCAAGTTTTTCTCACACTTTACAAGAAATCTGGGAGTGGACAGTCCTGAGCTTGTTGAGCTGTTAGGGAAGTTTTAATGGAGCCAGATTTCTCCTGCTCGTTATTAAAACCTGCAGCCACTCACACCAGCATACATGGTAGAGCTAAGAGCTCAGACCACCTGTGTCAACTACTGGCTTAGAGGATTTGAGGTCAAAGACTGCATATAGAAATATCCAGTTCACCAGGACTTAGCTGTTGGTGCTGGGAAGACCCTGCCCATGGCAAAGATTGTAACCAGCGAGTAGCTTCCCTGTTGCTTTGGGAAGTTTTCCACGTGAATCTGTTACGGTAACAGTCACCTTCAGCTATGGTTACTTAGGAAGACTCACGGCAAAAGCGCCACCTTGCTTGGTGCACCTGCCCTCAATTAGTTAAGTCCTGAACTTGGCTCCATCCAAACCAGATGAAACCAGTTAAGTCTAAACTCAGATTTAAATCAAATTAAACAATTTGAGTCTAAACTCAAAGTCCTATAAGCATTCTTCCTTGATGGTCCTACACCGGGACATTGCTCAGACTCTGTGAAGCAGTGCGCCTGAGTGAGGCTGTGTTGTTACTGTGAAATACACAGAAATTCCTAAGGCAGTCGGGAAAAGAGCAGTATTTAATATTTGTATGTCAGTTCAGTGTTTCAACAAGATCTATTGCTTTAAATAATCTGTTTTTATTTTAGAAACAGATTCCCATCCACAGATTCGCTCCCCAAATGCCTGCAACGCCACCAGAATCAAGAGCTGAGCATAGAACCCCAGTGTCCCGTGGGAGTGGCAGCATCAACTGCCTGAACCAGCTGCCAGAGATGTCACTGCTGCCTCCCAGGGTCTGCATTAGAGGAAGCGGGAGTGAAGAGCCAGAGCCAGGTACTGAACCCAGGAACTCTGATGCAGCGTGTGGGCGTCTTAACCACCAAGTTAAATGCCCACTCCTGGGGCTGGCATTGGTTGCAATGGTCCAAGCCACCACTTGGGATGCCTGCATGCCATTTCAGGGTGCCAGTTTGAGTCCCAGCTGCTCTGTTTCCAATCCAGCTCCCTGCTAAAGCACCTGGGAAAGCAGTGGATGATGGCCCACGTGCTTGGGCCCTGACCACCCACACGGGGACCCTGGATGGAGCTCCTGGCCCCTGACTTTGGCCTGGCCCCACCTCAGTCGTTGTGGGAGTGAACCAGTCAGTGGGTGTTTCTCTCTCTCTCTCTCTCACCCCCTCTCTCTTTTCAAATAAATAAATACATCTTTTTAAAAATCTGTTTGCCCCTTTTTAAAAAATCTTAATGTGGCTACTGAATAATTTAGAATTGTATATGCAGCTCTGTTGGACAGAGGTGGCTTAAACTATAATTTTTTAAAAAGTTTATTTATTTGAAGGGCAGAGTGACACAGCGAGAGTATGAGACAGGCACACACACACACACACACAGATCTTCTATCCACTGGTTCAGGTCCCAAATGCTCACAACAGTCCGGTATGGGTGCGGCCAAAGGCAGGAGCCAGGAACTCTATCCAGGTCTCCTGCATCGGTTGCAGAGGCCCAAGTGCCTGGGTCGTCTTCCATTGCCTGCACATTAGCAGGACACTGGATTGGAAGCAGAGCAGTGGGAACTTGAACTGGAACTCTGATATGGGATGCTGATGTCACCATATCACTGGCCCACCCCCAATTTTAATTTTAATTGAGTTGATTATGTTATTGCCTTACGGTGGCTCTTGATATATCAATATGTATCTTTTTATAACAATATGTATAGCAAATATTTCTCTTCAGTTCTGTAGCTAACTTTTACCTTGAGTCACAAATCCCCCTGATATGCAAAAGTTGTACATTTTTTTAAGAATCTGCCCATAAATTTCTTCACTGCTTTTGGGGTTTGTGGCCTGCTAAGGAAACCTTTCACCACAACAAGGTTACAAAAATAGCTTCCTGTGTTTCCTTAAAGTCATTTCTTTCTTTAACATTTACTTTTTTAAGATATCTGGAACTGATGCTTTTGTGTGTTGTGAGACAGGAAGTTTTTAGCTTGTTGTTAAATTAGAAGACCCATAAATCAAGAAAAGAATACAAGTCGGATGTGAATGGTTGGATGTCGTTTCAGCAAGAGACAGTTGTTTGAGCGTTTGTTACAAATGTACCCCAATTCTCTGAACACCATTTATGGCGCCTTCTCTTCTCCACTGCTGTTGAGTTTTCTCTTTTTCCATGAACCACAGCATTTCTGTAGCATGTGAAGCACGATGACTCTCGGTCTCATCCACACACGTGCTCATTCGTGCACGAGAATCTCACCATCTCAATCACCTGGGAACATTTCTATATCTAGAAGAGCAGTCCTCTTAGAAATCGTGTGCACAGCGGGCCCTGTCAGTGACCCTCAGAATCAGCTGGCCGACACACACATCAGATCCCATTAGGATTTTCATTAAGGTTTGCAATGACCGTCTAGATTACCTGGGGAAAGAATGTGGACTTTTGGAAATATTAATGTTATTATTAACATGCATATGCAGGAACGTAGTATGTCTCTTCACTTATTCATGTCTTCTCTTAAACTCATCCCTTTTTTTAAAAAAAATTTATCTGTTAATTCTATTTTTTCATGAACTTTTTTTGTTTGAGATTTATTTACTTGAAAGGCAGAGTTACAGAGAGAGAGAGAAAGAGAAAAGAGAGAATCTTCCATTTGCTGGTTCACTTCCCAAGTGGCCACAACAGCCTAGGCTAGGACAGGACAAAGCCAGGAGCCAGGAGCTTTATCGAGGTCTCCCACATGGGCGCTAGGGTCCAAGTACTTGGGCCACCTTCTACTGCTTTCCCAGGCACATTTAGCAGAGAGCTATGCAGAAGTGGAGATGATGGCATCCTAGGTGGTGGCTTACGCACCCTGTGCCACAATGCAGGCCCCAAGAAGTTTTTATGTAAACAGCTCTTGTTGCTATTGTGAATTTTTGTTCTTTTTTCATGTGTGCCTCTTTATTTGTTTCTTTTTTTAATATCTATTCTTTTTTTTCTTTTTGAGACAGCATATCTTTAATTTACATTGCCAAAGGCTTAATGCTTCATTAAGTAAAGAGATCAACAAATAAAAAGTAAAAAGACCCTATAGTCCAGTAGGAAAATAGGTGAGGGCTGTAAACAATAATCAAATGAAAACATGTTCAACTTCACTCATATAAGTGCACTCTAAAAGGTCATAAAATCATTAAAACAATAGTAGAATATAATTTTTAACAATTTGACAGAGATTTAAAACAAATTGACAGAACGCTGCATTGTGCCTGAGCAAGTACAAACAGAGGAGAACCACACATTGATAAAATTTGACACTCCTTTATTTGCTAGAAGTCAAGAACAGGCTCATGCCCTAAAGAACTCTCAATCCCAAAGCTCAAAGCAACAGGGTTTATAAAGGCAAAAACCGCCTTTCCGTCTGCCGGCAGCCATCAGGTAAGCCAGGATGGGCGCGTACAAGTACATCCAGGAGCTATGGAGAAAGAAGCAGTCGGACGTGATGCGCTTTCTCCTGCGGGTCCGCTGCTGGCAGTACCGCCAGCTCTCGGCGCTGCACAGGGCGCCGCGCCCCACGCGGCCCGACAAGGCGCGCAGGCTGGGCTACAAGGCCAAACAAGGTTATGTCATCTATAGGATTCGTGTGCGCCGTGGTGGCCGCAAGCGCCCGGTTCCCAAGGGTGCGACCTATGGCAAGCCTGTCCATCATGGCGTTAACCAGCTCAAGTTTGCACGAAGCCTTCAGTCTGTTGCCGAGGAACGAGCTGGGCGCCACTGTGGAGCTCTGAGAGTCCTGAATTCTTACTGGGTTGGTGAAGATTCCACGTACAAATTCTTTGAGGTTATCCTCATTGATCCATTCCATAAAGCCATCAGAAGAAATCCTGACACCCAGTGGATCACCAAGCCAGTCCACAAGCACAGGGAAATGCGTGGGCTGACATCTGCAGGCCGCAAGAGTCGTGGCCTTGGAAAGGGTCACAAGTTCCACCACACTATTGGTGGTTCTCGCCGTGCAGCCTGGAGAAGGCGCAATACCCTCCAGCTGCACCGTTATCGCTAACTCAAGTAATGTTTGTAAAATTCATACCTAATAAACCATTTAGGACAGTCAACGTCTGTTTAAAGGTGTTATTTGTCTGTTAAAACTAGTCTGCCAATAATTTCATGAATGCTTTGTCAAATTATGAAAGTTAAAAGTACAATAATGTTTGAAGACTGGTGTATCTTGTTTCTAATAAGGTAAACTTTTATCTTATTAGGGGATTCATGTGTCAGTGTTTAAAACATGCTGTGTGGTAAAATAGGTGTAAAATAAACTCTTTAAAAGAGGAAAAAAAAAATAAAGGCAAAAACCACAAGGAGGGGAGTGGAAATGCATGGTTGCTAGGGTCAAGCTGACCTAAAAGCATATGCAAATCTAGTATCAATTGTAGTCTTGATAATACCAATTACAGTCTTGACATTAGTCCAGGTACCGACCTAAATCCTGTGTGGGGCCGGCGCCGCGACTCACTAGGCTAATCCTCCGCCTCGCGGCGCCGACACACCGGGTTCTAGTCCCGGTCGGGGCACCGGATTCTGTCCTGGTTGCCCCTCTTCCAGGCCAGCTCTCTGCTATGGCCCGGGAGTGCAGTGGAGGATGGCCCAAGTGCTTCGTCCCTGCACCCCATGGGAGACCAGGAGGAAGCACCTGGCTCCTGCCATCGGATCAGCGCAGTGCGCCGGCTGCAGCGCACCAGCCGCAACGGCCATTGGAGGGTGAACCAACGGCAAGGGAAGACCTTTCTCTCTGTCTCTCTCTCTCTCACTGTCCACTCTGCGTGTCAAAAAAAAAAAAAAAATCCTGTGTGGGACATAGACCAATTACAATCGTGATGTTAATCCAGGCACAGCATGTCTGAAGCTCGAGCAGTCATGCTAGAGGATGTCTGTGTTTTGTCAAGCAGGATGCAGAGCACTGTCATGGTCTTAGTTTTAGACCCTAGTTAGTCCAGACCATAGTCTCACGGTGGGGGTGCTTTCTCAGGATGGAGTCTCGGGTGCTCTAACCTGGAGTCCCTGCTGTCAGTCAGGCGTCACTTCAGCTGCACTTGCAGCCCAGCAGTACACACGGGCATTTCTTTCTTCCTGCTTTTATTTCATTAAAAAAATTAGCTCCCACATATGAGGGAGAACGTGTGTTGTTTGTCTTTCTGCGTCCAGCTTATTTCACTCAACATGATGCCCTCCAGTTGCAAACATTTTGCCACAAATGGTAGAATTTCACTCTTCTTTACAGATGAATAATATTCCATTGTGTACAAATACCACATTTTCTCTATCCATTCCCCTGTTTTTTAAGATTTTATTTTTATTATTTATTTGAAAGTCAGAGTTACACACAGAAAGCAAGAGAAGTGGAGAGAGAGAGAGAGAAAGAGAGGGAGAGAGAGAGGTGTCTTCCATCCATTGGTTCACTCCACAGTTGGCTGCAATAGCTGGAGCTGTGCCGATCCAAAGCCAGGAGCTTCTTCTGGGTCTCCCGCATAGGTTCAGGGCCCCAAGTACTTCCACTGCTTTTCTAGGCCATAACAGAGAGCTGGATTGGAAGTGGAGCAGCCCAGTCTTGAACTGGCGCCCATACAGGATGCCAGCATAGCAGGTGGCAGCTTTACCCCATATACCACAGCACTGGCCCCTGTCCATTCATCTGATGATGGACACCTGGGTTGGTTCCACATTTCGGCTCCTGTGAGCAGTGCTGCTGTGAACATGGTGGTGCAGCTATCTCTCTGATTCACTGTGTTCAAGTCTTTTGAGTATATACCCAGTAGTGGGCTTACTGGAGCACATGGCAAGTCTGGTTCTAGTTCTTAAAGAAATCTCCACCCTGCTTTCCACAGTGGCTGCACTAACTTACATTCCAACCAACAGCATATAACTGTTCCCTGTTGGGGCCAACGCTGTGGCATAGCGGGTAAAGCCACTGCCTGCAGTGTCTGCATCACTTATGGGCGCTGGTTCGAGTCCCAGCTGCTCCACTTCCAATCCAGCTCTCTGCTATGGCCTGGGAAAGCAGTAGAGGATGGCCCAAGTCCTTGGGCCCTTTGCACCCACAAAGGAGACCCAGAAGACTCTCCTGGCTTCGGATTAGCGCAGCTCCAGCTGTTGTGGCCAGCTAGGGAGTGAACCATTGGAAAGAAGACCTCTCTCTTTTTCTGTCTCTTTCTCTCTCTGCCTCTCCTTCTCTCTCTGTGTAACTCTGACTTTCAAGTAAAATAAATAAATCTTTAAAAAAAGTAAGTTCCGGGGCCGGCGCTGTGGCTCGCTTGGTTAATTTTCTGCCTGTGGCTCCGGCATCCCATAGGAGCACCGGGTTCTAGTCCTGGTTGCTCCTCTTCCAGTTAAGCTCTCTGCTCTGGCCTGGGAGGGCTGTGAAGGATGGCCCAAATGCTTGGGCCCCTGCACCCACATGGGAGACCAGGAGGAAGCACCTGGCTTCTGGCTTTGGATCGGCACAGCGCCAGCTGTAGCAGCCATTTGGAGGGTGAACCAACGGAAGGAAGACCTTTCTCTCTGTCTCTCACTGTCTATAACTCTACCTGTCAAATAAAAAAAATAAAAGTTTAAAAAGTTCCCCGCTGTCCACTTCCTTGTCAGCATTTGTTGCCCTCTGTCGTTTGGGTAACAGCCGTGCTGACGGGAGAGGGGAGAGCTCATTGTGGGGACTGATGCTCTTTTCTCTCCTCCTCAAGTACATCCCACTGCAACCACTGCTCTCCACAGATCTCCCCGCACTCCTGGCTCCCATCCTGGCTGTGGCCTGGCCCAGCTCTGGACCATTACAATGGGCATTTGGGTATTGAACAAGTAAGTCGAAGATTCTCTTTCTCTCTCCCCCCTCTCTCTTTCTTTCTCTCTCCCTCTCAAATAAATAATGATTTTTGAAAATTAATAGGAAGTGAACAGCTATAGAAGCAGTCAGGGAAAGTGGCCCCAACACTACGTGCAGGAAAGAGAAGTGCATCCAGTGCTTTAGGGAAGACTGTTCAGTTCGACAGTACATGTTTATCAAACACCCGCCTTGTGTGCCGGGTGCCGGTCTGGCAGCGGTCACCACAGAGTCCCTGCCCGCAGCCACGGAAGCCTGATGGGGACACGGAGACCTGGAGCCCGGCCAAAGCTTCAGATGACTGCTGCCCCAGTTGACAGCTTTGTGAATTTTTATTTATTTATTTTTATGTAAATGGGAGAGAAAAAGAGAAGGTTTTTGTCATATGCTGGTTCACTCTCCAAATGCCCACAAAGGCAAGGAATGAGCCAGACTGAAGCTAGGTGCCAGGAACTCAACCAGGGTCTCCCACGTAGGTAGCAGGGACCCAGCTGCTTGGGCTATCACTGCTGCCTCTTGGGGTTTGCATTGCAGGGAGCTGGACTCAGGAGCCAAGCAGGGACTTGAACCCAGGCACTCCAATATAGGATGTGGGTGGCCCACGGGGCATCTTAACAGCTGCACCACACATCTGCCCACCAGCCTACATTGAGATTGCAACCTTGGGAGCCACCCTAAACCAGAAAATTTTAACTAATCTGCTCCCCAATTTCTGACCCCTCTCCCCTACAACTGAGATTCAAAAAAATGTCATGTTAAACCCCCAAGTTTTGGAGTTATTTGTTATACAACAATAGGCAATGAATATAATTTTAAAACGCATTTTATCTCATTTCAACAGGGATTTGGAAGGGAAAGAAAATGTATGCACTTGATCTGTCATCTTGAACCAGAACCCAGTCATTTGAACAAAAAACACTTATAAAGTTAAAAAAAAATAAGGTTTAGAAGTAGAGGTCCAGAAAGGAAAAATTTTAAATATAAAATTCCACAGAACATTTTAACCCCATCAGTGTATAAGTGTCCTAAGGCAGAAAATCATTTGCATCAAAACAAATAAACCTGAACACTGGGGCAAATGGAAGAGAGCAAGGAGGTGAAACTGTCGCTTGGCAACGGAAAAAAAAAAAAAAAAGAGAGAGAGAGATGAAACAGCTGCTTGGATCAGACCCTGGAGCCACCTTCTCCCCCAGGACAGAGTTGCTGTGTGGGGTTGACTGTTCCCTGGAGGCGGCAGGGGCTTGTCTGTGGATGCGTCCTTCTTGTAGGTCTGGATCAAGTTTTACTGAAGGTTCAATATTTTGCTTCAGCACATTCAGTGTTAATTCCTCTCCTTTGGTTGTTTTAAAACTCTATCTTAGGAATTCTCCTCTTTAACTTCTTCTTTTCTCCCCACCTCATTGATTCTCTCCTCCAAGCCTCTCTCTTGCCCTCTCATGCCCCACTCCTCACCTAACACAAAATTTCTCGCAGCCCAAATGTCACTTGTACACGACAGTTTAGATGTTCACAAGAATGCTCTACATTTCTTCTGTTTCCAGATCTAAGTATTAATCCCATCCACATTGCACTTGTTCTCTCTGAAAAATGTATCCACCCATGCCTCTCGTCAAATGCAAACTGTTTCTTCAAAAAAACCTTTGGAACAGAATTAACGTTCTAAGAAATGAGATTAAAATTACTTGCACTGCCAAGTTTTGAGCAGACGTCAGTTACATTATTTCCTGTGTTGTTACAGCTTCACCAGTGTGTGATGTTGCCTAATGGAACATCACAGAACTGCCTGCAACCTTTTCCTGTTATTTGAGTGTTTCATTTCAGCTGAAAATTTATGGCCCCTGTAATTACAGACCTCAGGAATCTGAGCAGGGAATTCGAGAACGCTAGCATTTCAGCACATTTTGTTCAATCAGGTGGATCTCACAGTGTCATAACGAAAGACTGCAGCCCGGACACAGATGTGTCCCACTCGATGTGAGTGTCAGCTGCTGGACACTCGGCGTGCTCCGTGTCCCCTCTGTTTCCTCTGCATACAAAGCAGATGTAGTATCCACTCTGCAGAGTTCTGCGAGGGTTAAGTGTGGTGCCATACTGCAGAGTATGTACCACATTTTTAAAAATTTTGTACACACACATACACAAAGAATGGAACAAGCTTTTCCAGCTATAAGAATTTTTAAATTTATCTATTGTTATTTATTTTAAAAGTGTGGGGTGGGGAGAGAGAGA